GGGGGGGGGGGGGCACTGGAAAAATACACACCCACAGCTAACAGACCTCACTGCTATATCACGTTTCCCTGATGCTTTACATTTGTACTATGAGCACATTTTACCTCTGTAATTACATCTTAGAAAATGCACGTCTACGACCACCACTGAATGGCCACACTGCACTGCCCTATGTGTTACATCATCCTGTAACTAACCCAGCTAACCTGGGGGCTGTCTTTACCACACTCCCACCAGAGTGGCTAAAGTGAAAAGTCTGACAGTGCCAAGTGTTGACGAGGAGACATGGAGCAACTGGGAACTCACGTGCCCCAGTGGGAGTGTAAGTCTGCACAACTACTTCACTGCATGGTAACATCTGCCAAAGCTGAACTTACGCACACCACCAGGCGACCACTTCAAGGTATAAAACCTGTAAAAATATACTAACCATGCTCACAAGAGGGCCTAAGATGCTCTACAACCCAAATGTCCATCCCCAGGAGAACAGATACACATATTACGGTGCAGCCACACTGTGCAGCATTGGGAAAAAACAAACTGCCACACGCAGCATGGACAACTTCCACAGACGTAACACCAAGTAAAAGCTGGGCAGAGTTCAAAACAGGCACACTGATCTGTGACGACAGAAATCAGGAGGACGGTCACCTTTTGCAGGGGACGTTTGTGACCAGGCGATGTCACTAGGATGCTAGTGAGGTTCAATCAGGGTGTCGGATGGACAAAGTGTACTCATTTTTGTACATTGTACTTAAAAGCAATCTTACTTAACAAACAAAATATCAGTAAAATAATAAACCTGGATATTAATTTATTAATAATAAACCTAGATATTTCAGTTGACCTGCCCAGATCAACTGAAAACCAAGATGAAACCTGGCTCTGAAATGTCAACCCCTGTCCAGGCGCCTCTCGCCCCGGATGACAGGAGGGTAGAGTGTGGGGTTAAGAGCTAGAGCTCCAGGGCCCAGCTGGGTGGCTCAGTGGGTTAGAGCGTTGTCCCCATACACCAAGGTGCAGGTTCGGTCCCCGGTCAGGGCACACACAAGAATCAACCAGTGATGCATAAATAAGTGGAGCAACAAACCCATGTTTCTCTCTCTCTCTCCCCCTTCCTCTGTCTAAAATCAATACATTTAAACTTAGAAAAGAAAAAAAAAAGAAACTGCAGCAACAAAGGGTGAGACGTCTCACCCAGGCCCCATAGCTAGTAGGAGGCAGAGGCAGCATTAAACCTGGGCCTCTCCGACCCGAGCTTCTTAGCCGCTCTGCTCGCTCCAGGCCCTGACGCCCCCGACCCGCATGGTCACCGCCAGGCCCAACCAGGAAGGCCCAGCCGCCAGCCTCTGCTGCCCCCGCCTGTCCGGCTCGGTACAGACCTTCAACCTTTCGTTCTCCAGCTTGAACGCGGAATACTCGGCCGTTTGCCGGTGCAGTCTCTCCACCAGGCTGTCCCGGTCTTCCCGCATCTTCTCCTCCAGGGTCTGCTGTTGGTTTACGAGATCCGTCACTCGGCTACAAGGTCACAAAGGGAAAGCAGACGGGAGAATCAATGACAGGTTCTGGGGAGCCCGGTCGCTTGGTGCAGTGGGGTCAAGTGTTCCTGCCCAGGCCGTGTCCCGCCTCTTGGCCACTGCCTGCCCCACAGTCTCCACCCTGAGAAGGAGCTGCTTGTCTTGCCCTGGCATTGCTGCGGGTGGCATCCCCGTGTATCCCACCTCAGATAACCCTTGAGATGTGTCTCCCACCCCAACCCTTCTAAAAGCATTCCCCATAGGCCCAGACACTCAACCCTGGTCCCGCTCCCCACAGCACCCCTGGATCTGTCTCTCAGCCAATCTTGAAGTGAGGACAGAACTCCAGGCTGGGTGGTCAGGGATACCACACCCCAGGCAGGCCTCTCCCTCAGGCACCTATCACACTGGGACTCAGTGTCTCCCAGGCAAGACAGGTGCCATGACATGTTCACGTGTACGAGCACTCCCCCAGTTCAGGCAGGACCGGCAATGAATGTATGTGAAACAGAGGGAAAGGAGTCAGCTCGGCAGCCGGCTGCCCGCCTGCCTTCATGCCCTTCTCCTTCCCCAGTCACCTGACAGAGCAGTCATCCCAGGGCGGACCCCACGGCTGAGGGGCACTGGCGCTCACGGATGCTCCCCACGCGCAAGCTGCTATAACCCTCACCGCTAGCTGCCTCCTGCACGCCCTCTCCCAGGGGTCAAGCCCGCAACCCGGGGAGTGTGCCGACTGGGCTCAAACTGGTGACCTCCTGGTGCACAGTCAACGCTCAACCCTGAGCCACTCTGGCCAGGGCTTATCCTTCTATCTTAATTATCTGTTTCCTCCCATTAGGTGGAGAACTTCCCCAGGGCAGCACCACGGCACGGGGCCTGGCACACAGCAGGTTCTCAGGATCTGTTTGCTAAGTTGAGTTGAATACAGCAAAAGACACTTCCTCAGGAAGACCTCTGACCTGGAGGCAGTGAGTCCCCGGACCTGTGCTCAGCCCAGGGCATCCGGGGCTCTGCAGCCCCACCCCCGGGATGTGAGGACACTGTGGCCTCCATGAGGGCAGAGAATGCATTTGTCTTTTTACTGCTGTAGCCCTCACATGGGCTGGCACCCAGATGCTCAGCAGTCCCTGTCAGCGAACTGAACACACTCATACAGCTGACACCGAGGCTGTCTCAACAGTCTCTGGAGGGTACACAGGCCACTCTTGCCCTCCGCCCAGGTCACAGCCCTCACCTACTGACTGGTCGGCAAAACCGTGGCAGCCGTGCGAGCGCCAACGGTGGCAGCCGTGCGAGCGCCGCGTCTGCCGCAGGCCCCGGGCGCCTCCCACCTGCACACCTACTTCCCCAGTCGGCCACCTCCCTCTCCCAACACAGACGTACTCATTCAGGACGATAATTTCCAGCTCGAGGTCCCCCTTGTCTTTCACAACTTGGTTGTAGCGGCTCCTCCAGGATTCCAGAGTGGATAAAGCTTCAGCAACATAAAGATCCTGGGAAACGGGACAACGGCCCATCAGCCGGTGTCAGTGCTGAGGCTGAGGGAGCTGGGGGTGGGTGACCCTGGGCGACGCCACCCCCTCACTCCTGCCACTCCTCTCTAGAAAGCACCAAGAGGAACAGTGGGGGGCCAGCTGTTGCGTCTAGATTTCCAGCAATCACGGGCACCCCGGGTGTATGCCCCTCCTTCGCCACCACAGACCCACAATTCTGAAGTGGCTCAACTGTCCCAGGGGCCCTCTGGTCACCTCCAGCCGGCCTCCCAACGCAGCACCACCCTCTCGCCCATTTAACGCCGCCTCTACCTCCCCCACTGGCCAGCCACCCTCCGCTTTCCCGCCTTCACCCCCCCAGCCACCTCGACCAGCCTCGCTTCAGCCGCCTGCTGCCCGCCCGCCTGGCCGCCCCGGCCCCCGGCTCGCCCACCTTATCAGCAAGCTGCACGTGCAGCTGCTCGGCGTATTCCTCGCTCTTCTCTGCTCGCTCCTTCTGGGCGCGGATGGCCTTCTTCAGAGACTCCTTGTCCCGGTCTCCCTTCTGCTTCAGTTCCTTCAGCTGCTCCATGATGGCCTCCACTTCCGCCTTGTGCTGGTTCCCACTGCGCTCCAGGTTCTGGGAGGGGCGGGGCGGGCAAGAAAGACCAGGGGAAGGCAAGAGAGTTCAGGGGAGAGAGGGAGAGGAGACCAGTGTAAGAGGGAATGGGGAGAGGCAGAAACAACAGGTCATAAACTGGGGGGGCGTAAGGCTCCCCTAACAGACCAGAGATGAGGGCCCTTCCCAAGCTCGCCACTCGCCACAGCACGTCTCTGAATCACTGAACCCATCAGGTCTTAGAACTTTTCTGGAAACTTCCCTTGCACCCCCAGCACAGCAAGACATCCCTCGGTCCCTCCGCAGAGCTGTGACCCCACCGGCCCCTGGCTCACAGACGCAATCAGTATGAGACCGTCCCTCCTCCCCATGGGGAGTCAGGAGAACTGATGGCCTGCGGGATGAAGTGATTGGCTCGGGGCACAACATCCACCCAGTCACTCCTGAGAGACCCCCACACCTCCAGGCCCACTGCTCTGGCCACTGTCCCAGAGCCTGGGAAGCACCAGTGGTTTGGCAGCAGCTGCCCCACAATGCTTTGGGGCAAAGCCTCCCTGCGAGTGGCGGCCTCGGCCAGGCCCCGGCCCCCACCTTCCCCGGCTTCCCCGGCGTGGGCCCGCAGGCACCTTGATCTGCATGCACAGGCGACTGTTCTCTGCCTCTTTGCACCGAAGCTGTGCCTGCAAGTGCCCGCGCATGGACTCCATGGACTTGGAGAGCTCCGATGCTGTCTTGGCTTGAGCCTTTGGGGAGAGGGAGAAAGCTCTAGAGGCAGGACCTGGACCCCGGTCTCCAGCCCGAGCGCCCTCCACCCACTGTGCTCTGCAGGCCGGGGAGGAGCGGCCATCGGGGACGGTACCTTCTCACACTGTATTTCCTGGAGCAGCTCTTCCACCTCCTTGTCTTTGTCCTGCAGCAGTAACAGCAGCCGCTGGAGAGAACACATAGTCATGAGCCCCTGAGAACGACAGGGAGGCCCAGCCCAGAGAGGAGAGACCCTGGTGGGCAGCCCCTAACATCTGTATTTAATGTTTAAGGCAATAGCCAGGCCGGGTGTGGCTCAGCGGTTGAGCATCGACCTGGGATCCAGGAGATCGAGGTTCGGTTCCCAGTCGGGGCACATGCCCGGGTTGCGGGCTCCATCCCCCGTGGGGGGCGTGCAGGAGGCAGCCAGTCAATGACTCTCATCATTGATGTTTCCATCTCTCTCTCCCCCTCTCCCTTCCTCTCTGTGTGAAATCAATAAAAAAAAAATATTTAAAAAAAAAAAAAATTTAAGGCAATAAACACGCATTTATCTTGCAATTTAAGATAAAGTAACACTAATTGTGGAAAACACAGAAAAACACACAGAAGTGCTAAGTAGCCCCATGACCCCAGCCCAGAGGTGACACTGTTCACTCAGGTTAAGCAGCCACATGCTTCCTTTGTTCTGCACCCAACACTCCACCTTCCCCATAAGGTGACCAAACCTTCCCAACATCTGAAATAGCAGGTTAAGGCTTCAGTTTACTGATGGGTCACAATCTGGCAAGGTCTTTTGTGCCAGGAAAGCAGGGTTCGGCCTCATCACCATTACCGCTGAACTTCTCAGACGGTCAGCGAGGCCCTGGGGGCCGGGGGGCCAAACCTTGGGGAGCACGTGGGGCACTAATACATCGAAGGCTCCACAAGGTCCTGAGGTTAAGAAACCTGCTGAGCCGTTTGTTCAGGGCAGCTGGTCATCTCCCAAATTAATCTGGTCATGGATCACTCCACACTTTTGTTTTGAAAATAGAACAGTAATTATAATTTTAAGAGAATAATTTTGTTTTAACTAGCAAAATTCACCCATTAACATCTTGGGGAGCTTAGGATTCCACGGAATAAACGCTGAAACATGCTGCCTTGAGAGGCATTCCTACAATTGGAACTGTTGAGTCAAAAAGTCTATAGCTTTTGATGGTTTTTAATCCTTAATACAAATATGGAGATTCAGGTGACAGAACAGGATGACTGGTACACCCTTCATCATTGTCACCATCTCTCATGTTGGGGTCCAGCTCGGTGGCTCAAACTCTCAACTGATCAACTGGACAAGCCCAGTGGAGCAGGTAAACCGGGGACATCAGCCCATTTCACAGATCGTGACACTAAGGCCCGGAGGGATGTCAGGGTAGGGCTGCAGCCTCCAGCCTCCGTTCAGCACCCGCAGCTGTGGGAGGACACCCACAGGGTGGGCAGGGGCCTGACCTACCGCTTTCTCAGAGTCGGCCTCTGCCAGCCGTTTCAGAAGGGCTCCTTGTTGTTCCATCAGCCTTCCAGAATCCTGCCGGGAGGGCCGCGCAAAAGCCCAGTCAGTAAGCAGTAAACCCGGTGGCTACATTCTACCTAATCCTTTCCTTTCCCAAATTACACTTCTGATTACAAAAGCACTAAAACAAATTCTATTCCCACTACGAAACACTTGGTGAACACTGACAGAGCTCAGGACCCCTCGCACCCACCCTTCCTCTGTGTATTCACATATCCACATGTGGAGAAATATTATCTCTTGGGGGAGAGGAAGGGAGTCGTGTAATTTTACCAATATGTTATACTGTATTTTTCTGCTATAACTTGGTTTTTAAACAAAGTTTTATTGAGATATAAATTCAGATACTATACACGTTACCCTTTTAAAATGTACAATTTAATGTTTTTTGGTACATTTCATTATTAATTTTTTAAAACTATAGTAAAACACTTACAAACTTTGCCATCTTCACTATCGAGTGTAAAGTTCTGCGGCACACAGCACACTTACAGTAGTGTGCTCTCCTCCCTGTCTAGCTCCAGGACATCTGCACCGTCCCAAAAGGGAAGCCTGCCCCTGTCAAGCAGTTGGTCTCTATTGCCCTCCCCCCAGCCACCACACATCTGTTCTCT